CTTAGTCCCCCTCCCGACCCCCACCTCCTCGACGAGGCCTTGTGCGTTCCTTTTTGCATCGTTAAACACCTGCCTTCCCGGCCGGTCGCAAGCCAGATCCGGGAGCGCGGCGGGCCCACGCGCCCTCAGGGGTGGCCCTGAGCTGCCTTCGTGGGGCTCCAACAGGGACACGCACAGCCTGCTGTTGGGGACGGCACGGCCCCGAATCCGGCGCCCCCAGGACCCCCGCCGCCCGCCCTCCTGCCTGACGGTGACCCCTACCGGCCTTGTACCAAGGAGCAAGCCGGATCCAGGACGCGGCCCGGGGCCACCAGTCCCCATCCCAGCAGGGAGAGCCCGGGGAAGACCCGCGCAGGCCTGGCAGGTGGAGACGGCAGCGCAGTCACACTCAGGAAGGGAGGCCTGGGCCACTCTCCCAGGAAGGCGCGGGGCTGCAGCAGACAGCGCCGCCGAAAGCCCCAGGCCTGTGCAGGACACAGGGGAAGTGGGGGGGCCACAGCGTCACTTTACCCTGGAGTTATCCAAGACCTGGCTATGGGGAGGGAAGCTAAGCCGAGGGCTGTGGGGGCCCGAAGGCTAAGGAGTAGCCAGGAAGTCAGCCGCACAGAACAGAAGGGGTGGCCACCCTGGTACCCACAACTCAAGACTGCGAGTCCCAGGTGAGTGGCGAGTCTGGAGCACCGCCCCTGGAATGCACCCCTTCCCGGGTGTAGATGACACAGTCCACGACCTGCCTTCTGGTGTGGGGGGTGCCCTGGCTCTCCTGCCCACCAACCGGGCAGCCCCACTGGGAAGCCGGCACAGCGCCCTTGCCCTAAATGGCCGCCTGCCCAAAGCTCCGGCCTGGGCCTTCTTTCCGGAGTCCACACGAACAAATCTCAAAGGAACTTAAAAAGGATTTGTTGGCTGGAAACAGGGGATCTGGGGTAGCTTGCAGAATTTAAGGGAGCACTACAGGATGGAGCGCCTCGCCTGGAGGGACTCCCTGCTTCGTGGGAGCCCTGGCTGTCTCCCCAGTACTGGCCTTCTCCACGGGTGGGCAGAGCCTGGCCCTGCTGGAAGACAGGAGGGGCAACGCCAAGGAGGAGGAGGCCTTCCTTCCCTCCAGGCAAAGAGGAGCGGGCCATGGGGCCAGCTCTCCAGGGCAGCGTGCTCCCTTTATGCGCAGGACAGGCCAGGAAGCCCAGAGGAAGCGGGGATGAACAGCAGCGGGGCTCCTAGACCCCTTCCCGCTTGGAAACAGCAAGGCAGGGAGCCACAGCCCCAAGGGGACCCCACAGGACCCACAAAGGCCAGTCCCTCACCTATCTCTCCGGCCAGGTGGAGCCAAGCGAATCTTCCCCTGCCTGCGAGGGGCCTGCCCAAGCCGTCCTCTGGTCCACCTGCGTGGCAGGAGTCCTGGGAGTTCCCCAGCCACACAAGGCCCAGGTTTCCTGCAGGAGCTGCTTTAGAGTAGGGGGGTGGGGCTGCAGCCACCAACGGCACGTGGTAGTTGTAATCTGGAGGCAGCTGCTCTGAGGGAGGAGCCAGGAGACTCGTGAAGACCTTACAGAAACCTCCATCGAAGCTTCGCTGCTAGGAGTGGCCACAGACAGCAGGGCGTGGGCTTCCAGAGGGCTCCACCCAAAATAGAGACTTACAAAAGCAGGTGACTTGGGAGCGACACTGGCATCTGGGAATGGATCCTGTGCTTGGGGCCTCACGAGGCTCCAGCGGTCCCCGTCCTTGCATGTTTCGTCATTGGTTTGTCAAATAGTTAAGTGCCTGAGCATTAGGGATGGGAAGAAGAGCTGGTTCCTGGGTGAAGCCCTGGGCTGGAGGGATCAGCAGGGGCCCAGCAGTGTGGATCCCAGCCTTCCAGCCTGTAGGCTCCAGCCATATACAGTGATGTCTGGGGGCTGCAGGCCACAGAGACCCCTTCCCCTCCTGGAGGGGCTCAGGTGGGCTCTGCAGCCCACCCCACAGCAGTGAACCATCCCCAGCTCCTGGGCCCCCACTCCTCGGCAGCCTTAGCACCCGTAGTCCAGGCCCAAGAAATCTCGGCCAGAGAAATAGGACCCTGCCCACCCACTGCCTTCTGAGACCAACCGGCCCATCCTCTGCCTTGGCTGGAGACACTCAGGGCTGTCCCTGTGGTTAAGGTCCCCGTCAGCATCAGGGAGGCAGTGGCATTCGAACAGCCCTTTCCCTCAGCTGGTGCTATTGTGGCTGCTGTGGCTCTGGAAGCAAGGCTTGGACCAAATGCTAACACATGGACACATATGCATAGAGACACACAGATCCATGCAGACGTGCAGAGACGTGCACACACAGATGGACACAGACAGACACAGACACACGCGCACACACTGATGTGGTTTGGATTATTTGTTCCCTCCAAATCTCATGTTGGAATGTGATTCCGTGTTGGAAGTGGGGCCTGGTGGGAGGTGTTGGATCATGAGGGCGGATCCGTCGTGAATGGCTTAGCACCATCCCCTTGGTGATGAGTGAGTTCTTGTTCAGTTAGCTCACTCAAGAGCGGATTGTTTAAAAGAGTCTGGGAACTCCCCTTTTCCTTCCCCTCCTCCCACTCGCTACGTGATGCTGGCTCCCTGTCACCTTCCACCATGAGTGGAAGCTTCCTGAGGCCTCACAGGAACAGATGCGGGCACCATGCTTCCTGTACAGCCTGCAGAACCGTGAGCCAATTAAACCTCTTTTCTGTATAATACTTAGTCTCTGTATTCCTTTACAGCAACACAAAAACAGCCCCCCCACACACATACACGTACAGACACCACCGAGACATATGCACAGATACAGAGATGTAAACACACATACACACGACGCAGACATACAGAGACCCAGAAACATACAGACACATGTATGCTCCCATGCACATGGCACTCCATACGCAGGAAGACGGGTGCGGACCAGCCTGCCGTGCCCCAGCGTGTACAGTGAACTGGCCTGCACACGGCCTCAGCCACAGTTTCTCCTCCCACCCTTCCAGGCGTTGCCCCAGTCTCAGCGAATGACAGGTGCTTCTGCTCCCATCTGAATCTGCTTTAGAGGTGCAATGCGCCCTGTAAACGCCTTGCCTCGCTTGTTGGCCAGGGGGTCTCTGCTGTAGCTGTCCCTCTCTCCACCCCCAACTCCCGCCGGGCCTTCACCCCCACTTTTTCCACGAGCTGACCACCTAACACTCCCAGCGGCCAGGGGTGGCCCATCCACAAGGACCCAGGGGCCCAAAGGTCTAGAGAAGGGGGCTGACATGGAGGCCTTTGTGTCAGGCCTCCCAGCACTAGCCCCCAGGCCCAGGCCGGCCTGCAGCTGTGGCCCCCATCCTCTCAGAGGCTGAGCCGGGCCACCGTCCTCAGCACCTTCTCTATGAAGCCAGAAGCCCTGTGGCAGCTGAGCGGAGAAGCAGAGCCTAGAGGAAGAAGTGTTGTCCCTGGCCTGCCTGGAGCCCAGGAGCTCCCGGCTTCCGCATCCCCCAGGTGAGCGCAGGACCCTCACAGCCTGTCACAGCCCGTCACAGCAGTGGGGCTAACCTGGGCCTGTGCCTGCCACACTCCTTCTCTGGAAACGTGTCCCACCTGGTCCTATGGAGTTGAATCCCGAGCCCCACTGGGGCCCCGGACAGTGGCCCCAGCAGGCCCAGCCACTCCCAGTTGAGCCCTGCCTGGCCCAGCAGCAGAACACTGAATCCTGATGCCCCCAAGTCTCCCTGCAGCCAGACTTCCACAAAATTGTGCTTAAATAGCCCATCTTTACTAGGGAAAGCGGGAGGTTTGAACCTCTTTGGAATCACAAGGCAGCTGTTTCGAGTAATGTCATCTAACAAGAGAGTGTTAAGAAAACATTAAAATAACCAGTGGAAATCTGGCCAGTGCAAGGTGGAGTTTGAAGCCTACCCAGCCTGGTCCTCATTTCCAGAACTCGGAGCTGATGGCCCTCCTGCCCGCAGGTGCAGTGTGTAGTGACGCCCAGCTACAGGAGCGTCCTGGGGTCGGAAGAGGTTTGCGTTGAGCTCTGCAATCACAGGCGTGCATCCTGGTTGCAAGCAAGCTATTTGAGAAACCTGTGCATGATGTTAGAAGACAAAATGATTGGGAAGGAAGGGGCAGAGTCTCTGTTCACAGATGATGCAATTGCCAGGGCAGAAAATCCTAACAGTTGATCAAAAATACTAGAAATAATAAGGGCATTTAGCAAGGTCACAAGACACTAAGTCTATATAAGAAAGTAATTGTGCTTCTATAATCTAGCAACAAATAATTGGAAGACAGAATTTGAAAAACAGCATTTACAATGCCATTGAAAATCAGAAAATACCTAAGAATGCATTTAATGAAAAATTTGCAAGTTCCCTATACCAAAAGCTGCAGAACATTGCTGAGAGAAATTAATGAGTAGCTAAACAAATGGGGGAGACAGACCTTGTTCATGGATTGTGTAAACCAAAAATAAAATTCTGAGCCCCCAGCCCTCTGAACAGACCACTCCTCTGGGCAAGGGCATTCCAAAATTAACCTGAAAAACTGGTTCAGACCACGAGGGGAAGGGAGGGATGGATACACGTCATTATACCTGACCCCCTTTTGGAATTCAGGGAAAGTTGACCAGCTTTCAACGTCAACACAGACCTTAAGTCTGATAAGAATCATTTAGAATCTAGTCTCTGAAGCCTGCGACCCAGAGACTTCAACTGTTGATAAAACTTTGATCTCCACAACCCCTTACTATAACCTAGACATTCCTTTCTATTGATAATAACTCTTTCAACCAATTACTAATCCCAACATTTTTAGCTTTACCTATAACCTTGAAGCCAGCCCCCACCACGTTGTCCCACCTTTCCAGACCAAAGCAGTGTTTATCTTACATGTATTTGATTGGGTCTCATGTTCCCTTAAATGTATGAGACCAGGCTGTGCCCAGTCACCTTGGACGCATGTTTTAGGATCTCCTGAGGGCTGTGTCAAGGGCCATGGTCACTCATATTTGGCTCAGCATAAATCTTTTCATATATTTTACATAGTTTGACTCTTTTCATTGACAATTGGAAGGCACTTTAAGGTGAAAATTCTCTCCAAATTGATCCATAGATTTAGCATAATCTAATAGACATCTCACAGACTTATTTTTTAGAAATTGAGATGTTGATTAGAATTAAGGTGAAAATGTAAAAGACTTACAATAGCCAAAACAATTGTGACTAAGAAGAGCAACGTTGGAGAGCTCAGAGATATGGAGACCAAGGGAAGCTGGTGGAGTCCGAAAATAGGACCACCCACACAGAGAACAGATTTCCAAAAAGGGTGTCCATTTAATTCAGTTGGGGAAAGGACGGTCTCTAGATCACATAGTTCGAGAACAGCTGGATATCCACAGGGGAAGATGAACATCAGACTTACCACGTCCCTTTCACAAACACTAATTTGAGACGGCTGATAGACCCAAATTAAAAGCTAATACTGTCAAACTTGTAGATCTGTATCAAGTGACACAAGAAGCAAACAAAATGTCAGGCCACACCTGGGAGGAAACATTCATATTCCTTGTATCTGATACAGGACTTGTATCCAGACACATAACTGTCCCTTACAACTGAGTAATAAGAAAACAGCCCACTTCTTAAAATACACAAAAGAAGCCGAGCACAGTGGCTCAGGCCTGTAATCCCAGCACTTTGGGAGGCTGAGGCCTGTTGATCACTTGAAGTCAGGAGTTCAAGACCAGCCTGGCCAACATGGTGAAACCGCATCACTACTAAAAATACAAAAATGAGGCTGGTGTGGTGGCGAGTGCCTGTAGTCCCAGCTACTCAGGAGGCTGATGCAGGAGAATTGCTTGAATCTGGGAGGGGAGGTTGCAATGAGCCGAGATCTCGCCACTGCATTCCAGCCTGGGTGGCAGAGTAAGACTATCTCAAAAAAAAAAAAATACATACATATATATATATATATATATGCACAAAAGATTTGAACACTTAAATAAGATGTGAAAATATACCTAATATCATAAATATCATAATCCTTTGTCATTAAGGCCTGAGGTACCCAAACCACTCCCACTATAAAGGCTAAAATTTAAGAAGCTGACAATACTAAGTATTGGCAAGGCTATGGAGCAATACATGGAGATGTGAAATGTTACACTTTGAAACACTTTGGAAAACAGTGGGGCAGCTTCTTGTGGAGTTTAACATGTGTCTGCTTTATGAACCACAGTTCCATTCCTAGGCATCTGCTGAAGAGATATGAATACATGATCCCACAAAAGCCCATGCACACAGGCTGTACCCCGTTCTCATGTAACTGCTAAAAACTGGCAACAACCCGAATATCCATTATGGGATGAGGGATAAACATACAGTACATCCACATAACAGGGACTACTCAGACTAAAAGGAAATAACAACGGAGTGAGTCTCAGCATCCTCGTGCTAGGGGGCCAGAGTCCAGCCTGGGAAAGTCCATCTGTTGGGGAGGGAGGCTCCATCCTGGAAGGAGGCAGGTGAGCAGGTGCCTGTGGTGGAGGCTCGGGATCAGTGGAATTGTTCTGTGTCTGATGGGGG